CCCTAAAAATATATGAAGATATTGAAGTCAAAGGTGGTATATGAAGATATTCACATTGAAGACTATGACAAGAGAAGACACGATATGAAGCCTATGGAGCTCGAAGACTTAGATCTTTTGTAGTTCTTTTTCTTTTGTGTTGAGTCATAGGAACCACCGTACTGTTAAGTGGGGTCCAAGAGAACCAGTCAGAATGACTGAAGTGATGCCTAAACCAAAAACCTATGTCTTCGAGTGAAGACAATGAGAGCGAATCTTGTCCAGAGTCGGACAAGTCAGCTTTGCTTGTAGCCCAAGTAAAGTTGCCGTGTGAGTTTGAAATCTGACCGTTGGGACACGTGTCAGTTCCTTAGTGACCCAGGGTCATTTCGGACAAATCAGGTCGGGTTGCCAAGTGGCTATAAATAGCCCACCCCCTACAACCATAAACGGTTGGCTGATCAGATTGAGAGTACGGCTTTTGTCGTTTGAGAGCAACCCACCTTGAAGCCTTTGAGAGAGAATTCCTTGCGAGGATAAAGACCTAACCACAGAGCCAGAGAGAATTGAGCATCACTTAAGTCTTCTTGTCTGTGTGATCTGAAGACTTATTACACTTGAGGACTGTGCATCCTCCAGCCGGTTAGGCGTCACGTTCTAAGCACCCAAGAGACATTGTGGATTGCCAGTGAACGAAGTCTGTGAAGGTTTGGGAGTCTACCTTGAAGACTTACCAAAGTGATTGGGCGAGGTCTATGTGACCTTAGCTCCAGGAGAATACGGTGAGGATTGGGTGTCCTGAGCTGCGTGTTCAGGACTGGGTGTCTGGGACTATGTGTCCTAAGGTTTAAATACCTAGCCGCTCCAACCAGACGTACAGTTGTCACAGCAACTGGAACTGGTTCAACTAATCATTGTCTTCAACGAGTCACTGGTTTCATCTTCACTTCACTTTACTTATTGTTTCTCCTTGTGAAGTCATTGTATGTTTGCTTTATCATTTGTCTTCACTGAGTGACTGCGTGTTTTGTTTGGCTTCACAATATCTTCCTACCTGATCCTTACTACCTAGCTGCTATTAGTCTTTGTGCTTTCACTTCATTGAATACTTGACTATGGTTTGCCTAGTGTAGTCTAGCTTCCGCTGCATGGTAATAGGTTTAATTTTATCGTTTGTCTTCAAAACTCCCATGTTCTGAAGACTTTCATAAAAATCGCCTATTCACCCCCCCTCTAGTCGATATAACGCACTTTCAGAAACAACTAACTTATGAAAATGTACATGTGGACCATTTATCTAAATTAACCCTACATTATTACAAAAATTATTAAACCACAATCTCCGAGGAAAAGATCCACATTGACCGCCGGCGATCGATGTCCCTTTGAGGTGGGCTCATGCTTTGTGATCTGGTGTTGAACATTTCACCTGTGTTGATAAAATAGATAGTGTCATGTTCCACATTTTCACAAGCACAAATTGATTTACTGAAGCGGCTGCTAATGAAAAGCGCTTGACTATCGATCCCACCTGAAACTGGCACCCATGCACCTGCGCTGATATTCGCTTTGAAAACCTCCACCTTGCGAGTGAAGCCTATACTATATAGAGGCCATTGCACTTGTCGTCTCACCATGAGCAACTTTCCACGAGACTCGATCAAGTACCAATTGACCGAGATGAGATCATTGGGCTCATATGGCACCTCGCTATCTTCCAAATAGGTCGTGCCTTCGAGAATCATGCCATCACCGGTTCTCTTTTTGAATTCATATAAGGCATGTGCGCGAGCATCCACTTCATTCAGTTCCTCATCATGGTCGTCGCCACCGTTCTCAACCTCGTGCTTATCACCCATACCATCGTTGGCCTCCAACTTTTCATCAACATCGCTCCATACATCAAAATCACAATTTTCCAAGGGTGGGTGTTTGATGAGGCGCTCTGTAGTGGTAACGGTCGGTATGCCATGGTCATCAAAATCAATACTGACAGAGGCAAGGTCCTCAGCCTGAGTGATGCCGCTTCAAGAAAAACAATATCGATGATGAGGTTGAAGGGTGTTGTATCCGGCTTAGGCAGCCATACACCCTTTCCTGGTCGGATTAATATGATGGGATGATTAGAGTTGTTGGTCATGAGAGCAACGATGTCATGAGGGCTTGACCGCAATAGCACTTTGTGGACCTCGAAAAACTCAGAGACATCACCGATGATAGGGCTCAACTCGGGGAGCGGCACCGTCGTGTTGGAGAAAGGATTGTGCAAGAAGTAGGTGTGCATGTTTTCTGCATCAGTGCAGTCAAGGGCAAGCCACTCATCAGTGGACCCAATGCATCTTGCGTTCTCCGGCAGGGAAGGGAGACGGCGTGGCGCGCTGCAGCCGCCGTCGGAATGTGTGAAGAACGAGCCGTCTGACATGACAATCCATGGCAACGCCTCAGGTGTCGTCGAAACATGTTGGCGCATAGCCAGATGCCATGAGCGGCACACGGCGCGGAAGCGGGCACGGTCGGCAGCGGCCGAGTGCCGGGTACGGCGGCACAGGTGCTGGAAGCCACGGCGGTTGGCGGCGGCGACAGGGACGGCGAGCAAGATTTTAGACCACGCCGCGGAGAAGCGTGTGTGGCCAGGGGAGGAGTAGAGGCGGTCGATGACGAGGCCCAGGATGTCCTGTGGGATTTCAGACCACGGCGGAATTGTGGAGGCCATGGATCGATACCGCTCGATCAAGCTCTGGATGGCGTAACTTCTGTGCTCGGAAACACAAGTACGCAGACGCACCGCTGCATAAATATACAGAGGCTGGGACCGACATCGAGAGGGTGTCTGTGCCCGAAACGCCCGGACGTCCTAGCTTGTGCTGCCCATCTTTTTTGCATAAATATAAACATGATTCGAACTCCGATCGCGTATGCTGCTGTCTCACGACATCGAATCTGGCCCATATTTACGAAAACGGAAATACTCGCCCGCGAAAAATAAATACGAAAATGGATTCGAACTAGCTGATGTCAGATATTTGGTTGGATGGTTAGAGGGGTTGTGGTATTTCCAGCCCATCGGGGTTTAAATCCTGGTGCTCGCATTTATTCCTGAATTTATTGCCGTCAGATCAGTTTGTGCAGATGTCAATCCCTTAATCTACGGTGTACCGTATCAGATAGCTTGTAATAATCCCTTAATCCTTAGTTATCTTGCGGATCAATCCAGGGTCTAACCACTCATGTAAATCTTCAACGGTAACTTCTCAGAGAGTGTGCCTATTTGATTGGGGAAATTGGAGTGACTCTTTTGCTTGCAAAATACAATTCCTGACTGTGTAATGAACTTGTGTCCTGTTAAAGTGTACAATACATGATAGAAATCATTATCATTTTACTTTCTCGGAGAACAATTCTTGCGGCTGGGAGGTGTAACCTAGCTGCGGAATCGATGGGATCATTAAGCTGCACTGACTCGTTGCAACTTCCGCTACTCTGCACCGTCGATGAGTTTGATCATTACCACCATCTTCATAGTGTTCGGGGTGTGATCGTGTAGCATAAACTTTTTGTTGCGTAGCACGTTCCCCTACAGTGGCATTATGAGCAAATCTATGAGTAGATGCTGGTACGATTAGAGCATATGGTGATATACGGCATTCCATGTATGTGCAGGGTGATTAGATGGTTCTAACTATTGAACGTTCATGTTGTAACCCCTCTAATCTCGCGAGGTTTTGATCTTGACAGCATGTTCGAGCTTTGTTACAAAGGTCTGGCTTACTAAGGTCTAGCATCCATAGTTATGCTTCAGATACTTTGGGTTCGTTCATAATCTTTAAAGACAAACTTTGTGAAGGAGGAAGGGCAATGTAGATAATGATCTACACGAGGGTCACGCTTTAATGACGAAGTTTAGTATGGAGCTCGAGATTTCTAATTAAGTCTCGTGTTTCATACACCTCGAAGGTTAAACCAACAACGTAAAGTGTCATGCTTATTATTTGTAGGAAAAGTAAATTTTTGCCAACTTAACTATAGCAACCATGGTAATTAGCAAAGTGATTAGAGACATCTAACTCATTCTTGTCGAAGGTTTTGCATGTGATGTGGTATAAGCCTTCATTTATTTCAATATGTTTGTATGAGATGCGATATGTTGTAATAATTTTATCTTGTCCTGCGAGCCATGGTACAGCATGATAGCTGGAGCCATATGATTGTATTTATGATCAACTAGCAAAATGGCCCGTGCGTTGCAACGGGAGAAAAAATATCACATGCTTTTAATTTTAAAATGGTCTATAATCTGAGTATTTGTAGCTACGGCCGAAACAAAGATGGTCTTTACCTACAAAAACACAAGTTCAAGATTCCACATGTCTTCTATTTAAACACGGCTCGCATGTAGATTTATTACGTACAAAGAAACGAGCAAGCGATCTTCAATTTCGTCTCCAATCCTGATTTTGCTGAGATGTTCATCCACAATCCGGATCAGTACCGATACGAAAGAAAGACGGATAATGCACTGTTGATTAAGATTGCACCCTAGATAGTATTTTTTTAAAATAGTTAACAGGTAAAATAACATCATATTCAGATTCTATATATTTTTCTAATCAAATTTCATATATAACAATGTTAAATTTGAAGTTACGGTTTAGAAGATATGAGTATTTTAAAAAAACATTTGATATGTACTGCGGGCGTAATGTCAGAAACATCAGGGGGGTTTCAATAAAATAGCATGACAGACTAAGAATACATATTTCTTTTATTAGTAGGTATAGAAGTGAGTTTTGAAACAAGTTCAGTGACTGTAGATGGATTTTTCTCTTTCACAATCTCAATGCCATAACAGACAAAAAAAAAATCTTACCCTACTAAGTTTGGTACGATGTCAAGCTTCAACAGCATGTACTCCTATAAGTACAGCCACTACAGTTACAAGCATTCCTTTCTTTTACCCTGAAGTACTCATGATACAACAAACTTCGTGATTTGAATGCTAGGTTGGATTGAATCTATGCCGTTTATTTCCAGAATCTGACGGATCGATCGTTTCCGCATGTAACAAACACTGGCTCTACAGGGGAGTGCTCCAGCCACCTAGGGGCGCCGGTATGGCCAGAGGGCAATCTTGCCACCCTCTCGGAAGTAAGTGCGTCCCAGATGACAACCTGAAGACCAGGCAGCATTACAGTGAGGCGTGTGCTGAAGGGTTTTCCCTTCTGAAACACAGATATTACTAGTCTGAATTGAAACTCACCTCATTGTTTTGCTCGTCGGTTGATAGTACAAACTCCTCCGTTTCGTTGAAGGCAGCCTAAACAACAAAAGTCAATTTATTGCAACAATGATGTTAGTTGTACATTCAGTTACAAGCTCAAAGCTACAACCTATATTTCATATGGACTAGGCTGACTAGCTGAGATACTTGGCTACAATTGGAGCAAGAACAGCTTGTATGACCAAATGTGTAGTATGTTAAATCAGAAAGAAAGAAAAGGATAATGGTACAGAATCGTACTACTAACCTGACACCGGAATTGTGTATTAACACCACCTGGATATTGCTTCACAAGTCTTCCGGTGCCAACTTCCCATAACTTTATACACGAATCCTTTCCACTGGATAGGATGTACCTGAAAGAACGTTTTTGGCTTCATAAGAGATAGCCAGGATACTAGCATAAACTTTTCTCAAATCCAGGAATATAATAACTCGAAATAGGTGACCAAGTCCTTCATTATTCAATCTTATGTGCAAGTACATGCAAAGTTGCAAATTTTAACCATAAAACAAAGCCTTTCTGCACAACAGAGAAATGCTTTGCATTTGCATCCACACTAGAGTGACCAGGTTAGGTCCTCTTTCTCTGATGTGTGACCGTCGGATTCACCTCACGATAGTCGTGACACCTCATTGCTCAGGTATGTCCATCCCTGGCAAGTAACCATGGCACATCACTGCTGTCCTTGTTTATCCTAAAATGGATGATTCCTTATGGACTGTATGCAACTGTAATGGTACGGCAACTAACCACTTGGAACTGATCCATTCTTACTAGGACGAATCAGGCTGACTTACAGGTAGATTCTCAACACCTGGATGCTAGGACAAACCTATTTTTTTCTTTTGTTTTTGCACCTGGGTGCTGGATACAGTTCGTTGTTCCGTTATCTCTTGATAGTGGAACCTAATCCTTTTGGGGATTGTACGGAAAAAAAGGTAGATTCTCAACACAATGCTGAAACATTATGATGTTAAGACTATTTATTCACATATATCTTTGTCCCCCAAAAGCATTTTACACATGCCGCCACTTGCTAACCTCTCGTCTTTGGTGAAAATTGCACTCGTAGCTTCTACAGATCCATGTGCTCCAATTATGGGACGGATACATTCAGCAGATACTCCATCCCAGATGCGCAGAGAACCATCCTTAGAAGCAGTCACATACATGCTCCCAGTACCCGAGTAACGCACCTGACACCCACAAAGTATATATAGGGTTGCCATGGTGTGCCTTTCATGAAATTATAACCACTGTATGACAAAGCTTGTGAAGCAAAAGTAAGAAAATACCTGGTTGATGGCAGCACTAGAGTCCTGCGGATTTGCGGATAAGAAGCATGTGAAAGTGTTTACATCATAGAGATGAGCTACTGGGTGATCAGTCCCTGAAAATATTTTGTATCCAAGTCAGCTGCTTCCAAGGATTGCATATTCAATAGATTAATATGGCAATGTAGGCATCTAATTGAAACTGCGCGAAACTAGTCGGTATTTGACAAATAGGCAATGCCAAAAATTATTGAAGTCGGCAGTCTGATTCTGGACCAAAACTCAAATCCTGGCCAGACACCAAATATTCTCAGTTAGATATATTATGCCATACCTAGAACACATTAGCGAGTTATAATTCTGCAACCGCTAGAGTATGGACACCATGAAAATATATATAATAATGCCTACTATACATGATTGTTTCTTTAAAATGCATTATAAATAAGTCGACTCTTAACTCTAGCCAAGCAATATCAGAATTGATAATCGTGTAAAACAAAAAAGCTAGAGGCTACAGGTAAAAGTCTAATTACAGAAAGGGTCAAAAGCCTAATTACAGAAAGGATCAAAAGCCTGATTACAGAAAGGATCATAGTACCTGCTAAAATGTAATCCCCGCAAGGATGAAAACATACAGACCTAACATTATGAGTATCCTGTTCAAGTAAATATTGGAGAAAAAAATTATTCAGGCACCACAAACATGCCATTTAGAGTATATACAGTTACTAAGCATTTTACTACCTGAATAACTCTGAATGCTTTTCTTGCAGCAGTTTTGGAGAAGTCAAAGAACCTGTCAAGCAAGTTTCAAGTTCAAAGGACATACAACTCAAAAGAGATATCATAGTTATATGTAAACAGACCAATTATCCTTAATCTCTGTATGAACTCCTCAAACTGCATAACAAACAACAAGGAAGGCGGAAAGCAATGATAAGCATACTTTATCGTATTATCTTTTGCTCCAGATATCAGTATTGGGCTAATAGGATGGAAATCCAGATCATTGATGGGCTGCAAGAAATTAAACATGTTACAAAAACAACTAGAGTACATAGGAGGAACTATAAATCTTTAATTATAGAAGGATAATGGGGGCTTGAATCCATGAATTCAACCACAACTAGAGTACATAGGAGGAACTACAAACCATGTTTTTGACACTAGGCACTAGGCAGCCACATTGGCACCCTACAAATATAAAGATGTTTACTTGCTAAAAGAAGGCATGGTGGTAATTCAAACAATTAAAGATAAATAAGCAGAACCATGGATGAATGGAGCAAATGAAATACTCCCTCCGTCCCATAATGTAAGACGTTTTTTGACACTATCTTACATTATGGGACGAAGGGAGTAGTTACTAATCATCAGTTACAAAGTTCAATACCCTATGGTGGCAATTCAAGATATAGAAGGTGAAGAAGTAACTACCTGGAATACTAGTTACAAAGCTAGATACCTTGTCACTGCTATGTACAGGAAGTTGGCTAAGCAACTACCAAACTATGAATAGAAGAAGTCTTAACAGGAAGCTATTCCAAAACAGGACGAGAAGAGACCCAATGACTTGAACAGTAAAATACTAACCTGCACGTGGTCATAAAATGTACGGACCACAGGCCGGCCAGAGCCTTCTTTGGAGTCTCCTAGCATCGTCTGCTTAATTTTCGATACCTGCAAGTGGAAGTCGTACATTGAGCAAGAACTAGAACCTAAGAAAGCACATCCTGTACTCAGCGATAGAGTGATAATTCAAGCTCACCTCAAAGAACTTAATGGATGTGTCCCCACTTCCAGTTGCAAAATATTTCCCATCAGGACTAAATTTTGCACATCTGGCAACATTCTGCACAAAATAAGAGTAAACCACCGAAAAAAGTATATATGATATTTCTTGCCAACTGGTCTGTCACACCTTAATTAACCGGACCAACAAAATTACAAGTTGGGTGACTATGAAGGCGCCATGGGAGGTGCAAAGCGTGTAAATGGTGGTGATTGTATGCTGATAAATTATCCATTCGATCTGTGAGCCATGTAAACTTCTTGCTGTTGCTTATAATATACGTGTATAAGTAACATCCATGTTCGGGTTTAGAAAATACCGCTCCTCAGTTGAATTCAGATATCTCATAAACATCACAGCAGGAAATAGGGTAAAAGTGAATTCCTATGGTATACCCTGGCAGGAAATGCAGTAAAAGGGGAAATCCATATGGTGGATTGAGCGAAGGGAAAATTGGAACCATGCTTACCTTATGATCGGAGATGTGCCTGGTTTCATGCTTGGGGAAAGTCTTGGACGGGCCCCTAACATTCTGCACACTGCAGTAAGCTTCACAATCAAATCCATATACACAGTTCATTTGTCAAATGCCAGAACCGCGAGCAATCATGTGTTTCACCTGAAATCCACGGCATTGGTGCCGAGCGGGCGCGCCAGCCCACCGCCGCCAGCACCGGAGTCAAACGCGGCGGGAGCTCCGCCTCCCCTGGCCGCCTCCTCCCGCTCGGCCGCGAGGCCCTGCGAGCCGACAGCAGCGAGGGTTTAGGCCGGAACCCTAGGCGAGGGAGGGGGCGGAGAGGGGGGTTATACCTTGGCGACGAGGCGGAGTAGGTGGTTGGGGACGGAGGCGTCGGCCTTGGGGGTCATGGTGGCGGCGGCGACGGCGGCGGCGGCCTGCGTGAGGTTCTGGTCGCGGAGGTGCGCCACGATGAGGGCGTTCACCTGCCGCAGCAGCTTCGCCTCCTGCACCGCCGCGTCCATCTCGGCCCCCGTCGACCTTCCTCTCGTGGGGTGGAAGGGGGCCAACTGAAATGGAGTGGGAGTGGGCTGAAGCTCTGCTGCTTCAGAGCAAATGTGTTCGGTGTTCTCGCAGCGGAGCGAACCTCTGAACGAAGGTGAAAAATATGTTGTCAGTATCTGGGCGGTGGAAGCAGAGCTACAACATCGGAGTCGATCTCACAGAACTGCAAGCTTCCAGCAAGATAAATGTCAGCGCATGGCTCAGTTTAGAGGAATGTAATCTGTGGAGACGCCGATTCTGAAGCTCTTCTTCTTTGGGCAATGCCCTACCAAATGAGCTGGCTAGATATAATTTTGATGGAATTTTTTGCTTGTCGATGTATTGACCAACATTGGCTAGAAATATGAACTAAAATGAGCATAGAAGGATTGGCATCTTATAAGGAAAAACTTTTGAGTAGAGACACCCAACAAACATCTTAGATCTAATTAATATCAAGAAAATGGATTGACAATCAAACATAAAATGACCAATAAAAAGTAAAATCACATTGAAAAGCATACTAGTCTTCTTCCTCCTATTGGACGCTGCACGCCGGAGATTGAAAAATGCACTGAACCAATAGTAAAGAAAAGCGACGGCTGCATACGCCCTCGCCATACCAGGTTTTAGTCACTCGTCAAGCAGCATCAAGATTTTAGTCACTCGTTCGTTAAGACCAGATCTATAAGTCACTCGGTTGAAGCTTCACCCCAGGATAGGCTTGCAATCCATCACCACAGTTCAGGAGTTGGAGAAATCAGGTCAAGAACAATACAAAAGAAGACGTCAAAATCGCCACACAAATAGCCAGCCAATAGCTCTACTTGAAAGACATACAACTAAAGGGAACCACCAAATCTAGGCACACAAACTCACAAGTCCGTTCATTGGCGCCAAATCGGATGCCGTTAAGGTAGGGAGAGACCTTATTCTAACACATCATCACCGCCACCACCCCGTAAACTAAGAAAAATAAAACCAAGTCCTCACTCCTCTTGCCGCCGGAGGCAGCGGCTTGTACAAAAGCTGTGGCGGCAGCTAGGGTTGGAAGATAAAGTTTACGCCCTTAGCCTGCCTATGCCCTATGGCATGCCAATAATTTGGTAGCCATTCAATCATCCAGTTTGGCAAGACGATATGTGTCCCACACTTTCTTTTTTAATCAAACTATATTTTTATCACACACACACACACACGCACACTGTGGAGGGATCAGACAATGAGCTGCTGCCTTTCTTGACAAGGAAAAACAAATTTTAGCAGAGAAACGAGCAAATGCGAAGCTTGCCCCTAACGTGTCATTACAACTGGTCCCAATCGACCAGACTCGCCATAACAAAGCCTTGGAGTTCAAAAGAATAGAAATCGAATACATCTGATCTCTCGGTTTATATGAGCATTCTGCCTAATCCATAGCTGTCACTAGAGGCAGCTAATACGAGCCTCAAATATTCCGCCAAAAAAATATACCCTCCAGGGGCACCAAAGTTTGTAAGAACCACTGTCTAGCTATCAAGTCAGCGAGAAACAGAGCTTCAGGTGGGTGTCACTGATGCCTTCTTGTAGTATTGTTGCATTTCGGCTACCAACAAAAATTCCAGCGTCTTTGCAGGAACCACATAAGGAGATGTCAGCCGACTCAGGCCTCTTCAACTTTAGCACATACACGCTCTGGGGACAAAACCAGAAGGAAACTATAGTTAGGAATAGAGAAAAAGGAATAGTTTCAGATCAGATGAGAAATCTTAATTATTTTAGAGAGGAATATCGTATGGAGCTTCCATGTTTGAATATACAACTACAAACAACCCTTCTTTTGTGAATGGGCTTTTACTGGAAGTTCAACCCATCAAATTTCATAAAACAAATGCTTTTCATTCATGGAAAACTTGTTAACAAACGTCATGTTTTGCGAATAGGAATACACTGGCCATAGTCCCACAAGACAGACCAGGCTGCTGCCGAAGCAAAGCACGGATATTCCACCCAACTGCATTTGCTATCCGTATATGCCAATACTCCTTCCATATACGACAGTGCAGCACGAATCCGATCATCCATAATGTGCTAGCTTTCATGTAAGGTAACCTTACAGGGAGCAAAAAGGAATAGAAGTTCCACAGTTTCAGATTGTATTCAAGTGTGGTTTAAATTGCATATGGGAGTTATGGTATAGCCTACAGGAGATATGGACAAATTATGACAAGTGACCACAATGCCACCAGACACCACAAGTATAGATGAGATGCTCAAGTATGCAGTTAACTGTAAGAGTGCGTATTTATTATATGCAATTTTGTATTGCAAATAGCATTAGATGTGATGAATATACAAAAACAAACATATAAGACTTGGAAAGGAGGATGGCCATACTTAAGTATTCGTAGCATACGATCATTGATGTACCCCAAGCAGATGAGCTGAAAAACCTTGGACCTAACCCTCTGTAGAAACCTTTCCATCCATCTTCAGCGATCAATCTTCTAACTACCTCACTGGCTTTTGGCTTGTTTTGATTAACCTAGATGAAAAAACAGAAAAAAAATATTAATGTGGCTGATATAAAACCATAATTCGCAGGATGCATGTACAGTTAAGAAATAGAAAAAAAATGCAAATTCTTGATGACATAAAGAAAACATCAGCTGCACGGAGCATTTTCTTAAAGCATCACCAGAAAAATTGAACACTGGGGGTTGAACGCTACAGTCTAGAAGTGTGATTGTAATTAACTAAAAGTCTACACTCGACACTATCAACACAGATAAAACATGTAATGTTAAGAAAGTTGTGAAGTGTGTCCATAAAGTGCATGTCATATCCTTGAAAAACTTCTAAGCCACTTCAACATTACACATTTATGCTACTACTCACTATTAAATAGAGAGGTTTGTGGAAAAAGCTTTAGAGGAAAATTTTCCCTTTTGACCCCATAATAACTATAAGATAAAGAAATACTCCCTCAGTTCCTAAATATATGGCGTTTTGGTAGTTCAATTTAAACTACCAAAACGTCATATATTTAGGAACAGAGAGAGTACAAGTATCCATTTACATACAGTGGCTTGCCTTTCCAATGATCACTACTGAGAGAAGAAATATATCTTGCCTACTCTTAAAACCATGAAACTTATTTTGGATCGGTGGGAGTAACAAAGATTGTTCCTGAATTCTAGCTCCTCAATCCCATGCTACTATATATTATCCAAGACAAAAGTTACTTATGTTTTCAGATGGACATCAATGAACTTCAAGACAAAATGCCCGTGCTCCTAAACCTTACTTAATAATCGTACTGATATTCTGATAACGGAGTCAGGTTATAGACATCTTAATGGCATCAGCGTGAAACTTAATAAGCACTAGTTACAAGGGCAGTCTTGAAAAATGAACTTCTTCAAACCCAATTAGGCAGAAATAAGCAACAATAATCAGAAACATAAATGTCACCTGCAGCCTGGTTTTGATTGTATCTAGAGGAGTTGAAACACAAGAGGTCACTGCCCCAGCAATCATTCCCCCTGTTGCTTGAACACCGACTATTTTCAACTGACTAGGAGCATCTTCTTTATCATTCAAATGGCCAAGAGCACTGTTTACACAAGCAGAACAACAGAAGTGAGCTCAAGTAGCTATGCTAACAAGATAAATAACTTTATTTCAATTCTTAACATTTTGATGCTATCACCATTAAGAAAGAACTCCCCTAAACTAACTTCTGTACTGACCCTTAAGAGCACACTACTATGTATTTCTGAGTACCTAGTGTCTGAGAGGTATTTATATAAGCCAAACCACTTGATCATGGTTACTGTTTCTACCTATAGGAAGACAGCAAATATGAAAAGATTACCGAAGCAAATCAGCCAGAGCACACCAAAGTAAGATCAGAGTTTTCCAAAAAGATAGATCAATGTAAATAAAACTGTAGTTTGGCATTATTGGACCATCACTACTAACAGGAAAGCAAAAGATGGATATGTGATTGAAAGAGTCTGTCACCATCAAAGGGGCGGTTTTAAGAAGGTTGCATAATTACAGAGATCGACATTGCCAGTATATACATACATACAGTTAGCCTTTTCTTCTTTGTTCAACTTAAGAAATCTATGAATTTAAACAACATAGAGGCTAAGAGAGAGAAACATAGTGATAAGCCAATTAGACCATCACTACTAACCTCCAAATCATACGCTGGCTGAACCCATAGCTTGCCCACCAAACAGCACTAGACGGTGCATACGTCATAACAGACAGGCCAAATCCTCTGTACAACCCCCATGGCCCATCAGACTTCATAATCTTTTGAACAACATCTATTCCACCCTTATATCTGACATGACCAGAATATCCTTGAACCATCAATTTCTGGCTAACCTGAGATACAGGCCAACAGAAACATGATAAATGGATTTGCCTACTCTGGCAAACATAGCACAACTCTTTGCAGCAGCATGGAAACTGGAAATGGCTAATAGTAAGCATACCACATCAATGGGCACAAACACGGCCTGCGAGCACAGAGACGCTGTCAAACCACCAAGGCCATTAGCAAGGGCAGCCTCCATCGACTCTGACAGCTGAAGTGGCTCGACAAGCTTGAGCGAAGTCGCCTTTGTCTTCTCGAGCGCCGTGAGAAAGATGATCCTAGCCGGGATAGCCCCGGTGATGACGGTCCCAAACCCCCGGTAGAGCCCAGGCACCCCATCCACCTTGAGGATGTTCTTGAAGGTGGCCAGGGCGTTCCTCCTCATGGCCTCCCCGGAGGCCACCTGCATCCGGGTCTTGATCACGGACACCGGGTAGAGCGCCACGGTCACGCAGCTGAACATGCCGGCCCCCACCACATAGAGTTTGGTCATGTCGAGGCTGCAACATGTATACACCACAGTTTGAGAATAATATACCAATTCCAACCAGAGAGCTACCTAGAAGCCGTGATTCACCAGAGCTTCCCCAATCGCGCTCCATCCGGGAACAACAGCAGCCACGGCAAGTTCCTAAATCGAAATTTTCTAATGCCAATTCCGAATTGCGGCAGGGGGGAGGCGGGGAGATTAACAACTAGATACTCGGGAGCGCCCGAGACGGGGCGAATTGCCGGGGGGCGGCGGGGGGGAGAGGAGGCGGGCGCGCTTACTTGTCCCAGTTGATCTCCGTCTGTTGGGGGAGGGAGGGGATCTTGGCCGCCCTAGTAGAGGTGTCCATCGCCGCCCAATCCCGCGATCCCCGGAGGCGAGAGCGCGGGGGAGGGGCGCCGCCGCCGCGGCCGTAAGCGGGCGGGGGCGGGGGCGGGGGCTCGGCGAGAATGGCCCGCCGGGTGGTGCGCTGGCCTGCGCTTCCGCTTCCGTGGCCGTCTTGGCAACAACTGCAGCTACTCTTCAGCGGGGGGGAAAGAGAGCATGTGTTCCTCGCCTCCTCTGGCTCGGAGGCGTCAATGGCGTCCGGGGTGGGTACTCTTCTTGGGTCGCGTCGCCAGTTCTGCCCAAACTTTTCTTTCTTGAGCCCAAAGCAAAACCGCGTGGTCGTTGTTGGGCTCCGTCGTCGAAGCCCGTTTGCTTCGCTATTTTCTTGGGAGATATGCGGCGTGGTCGTTGCCACGTTATGCTTGTTTTCCACCGGCGTGGCTATCAGATTGAAAGTTAAACGGAAAATTAAAAAAACCCTGGTGATGAGGTTTTCTTTTTTTTTCAGATTTTAGAAGCGCTTCCGCTCAGCGACTACTGACATTGTGCGTGTCGACCACCTCGAAGACCGCCTCATCAGAATCTACTCGAAGGCCAGTTTTGCAACACCACCCTTGTTGCAAACCCTTCAAAAGCAACAGTCGGTCTGTTGCAGAGCGACTATGGCGAGGGAGGCAGCTGCGACTGGATTCGCAGTGACCGCAATGCAGCTCATCGAGATTGGTGGTCAAGATGTAAAGCAACATTAGTTCGCTGGTGTAGGGTGTTGTGAGGGTTAGATTGGTTGCCAGGAGCGTTTTGATTTCTTCCATGGCGTTGTCGGCCTCGGTGGTCCACTCGAAATCGTTTGTCTTCTTCAGGAGCCTGCACAGGGGAGAGCCTTTTCACCTAGCCGACTAATGAACCAACTTAGGGAAGCCACGTATCTGTCCAGTCGACGAATGTTCTTGAGCTTCTCTAGCTTCTTGAGTTTTGTCCAGTCGGTGTTTGCTTCGATCCTGCACTAGGAGATGAGAATCTCAACAGCTTACTGGATGGCACGTCGAAGACGCACTTCTCTGGATTAAGCTTTATGTTGAATGCACACGGATTTTTGAAGGTCTTACACAAGTCGTTAATGACGGTGTCGGTTGTCTTGGTCTTGATGACCACGTCATCGATATACGCCTCTGCGGTTGTTCCGATCTGCAGCCGCAACATCTAGATCATCTGCTGATAGGTGGCCCTGCACACTTTAACCTAAAAGGCATTGTGATGAAACATCAAGGCTTGTATATGCTGTGATAAATGAGGTGGCCTCCCGGCCGGACATCTTCATTTTAATCCAGAAAAATAAGGTCATGCTTGGCCGTTGCATCGACGATCTGGTCAATGGGTGGCAAAGAAAACGGGTTCTTCATACACACCTTGTTGATGTCCTTGAAACCGGTGCAAAAATGCCATGTTGTGTTATTCTTTGGCACCATGACCATGTATGACAACATGTCAATGTGCATGACTTCTAGGATGAAGCTAGAGTGATTGTCCAACCGAATGACAATATTTTGAAATTTTAACAATAAAATTGTTGTTTGATAAAAATATAAAAATAAAAGGTAGCAACTCCCCTTATCAATCAGAAGTAGTAAGAACGCCTAGTCTGATCTTGAGTGGAACAACAACAAAAATAGAAATAATTGAGAAAACAACATATAGCTTAATGATGTGTTTAGTAGGTTGCATGTTTTTTGGGCTATTTGCATGTGTGGCTCAACTGAGCCAGAGCCAGGCTGAGTGAAAACGGGGAAAAAAATATGTTCTGCATATACTTAGTTTGGCATCCCCTCCAGCCTGGCTGAGCAAAAACACATGTATGGTGTTTTGTTGCAGGCTTGTTCTAGGCAGATGCAAACCGTTGTTGGTCAACCAAGACATGTGGTCTGATAACCTCTTGTTGGAGTGGTAAGGTTACTAGCACGCACAGACATAGCATAACCAACTAATAACGGGCAAAGCATAAACCAGAGTCTTACTCATCGTTAGTTAAACTAACAAATGGTTGCGGCAAGTCTTAAATTAAACATCCAACACGAGAGTCTTAAATTGGTGCAAAGATAACACCCTAAAGAGCTGTTACAAATGCATCCTCATGCCTCTTGCACTTTGTCACCACCTCAACACCATCATTGTTGAAGTCACCTTCAAGATGTCGGGAGTCGCCAACTTGAAGGTGACGAGGTACCCGAACTTGATTTGTGAACAACAACGAATGGGGGGGCTTTATCAAGGGTGAGCCTATTGTTCATCGTCTGGACCATGACTCTCCACTCAGCTAGTGTTCATTCTCATCATGAATTCCTGTGGGACGGTGGTCAAGTGCTTGGTGAAGTCAAGGGGCATCGCCAAGCACTCCAATTTGGGTACAAGGATGACATTGCATAAGTGGCTTGAGTCGGCGTCCTCATGGAAATGGTTGATGGGGAACGTTGTATGGAAAACAAAAAAATCTATGCACACGTAAGATCTATCCATGGAGATGCATAGCAACGAGAGGGGAGAGTATGTCTGCATACCCTCGTAGACCGTAAAGCGGAAGCATTTAACAACGCGGTTGATGTAGTCGAACACCTTCGTGATCCAACCGATCAAGTACCGAACGTACGGCACCTCCGCGTTCAGCACACGTTCAGCTCGATGACGTCCTCGCCTTCTTGATCCAGCAAGATGGGAGAAGTAGTAGATGAGTTCCGGCATCACGACGGCGTGGTGACGGTGGTGGTGAATCTTATTCCCTCAGGGCTTCGTCGTGCACTGCGGAAAACTAGACGGGGACTAAATTTTGGACAGGGGTGCCGCACACGGCTAAGAGATTATCGTAGGATTGTGTGGCACCCCTCCCTCATATATATATATATATATATATATATATATATATATATACTCCTGCCCTCTAGCCCCCCTCCCCCCTTGTTTGCCCGTGGGGGAAGGCAGGAGGGGGTGCCCCCCCCCCTCTTTCCTTCCTCTTAGGTGGAGGGAAGGAAAGAGGGGCTAGCCCTTCCCCCTTTCCATCCATAGGGCCGACGGCCAAGGGAAGGGCGCGCCAGCCCCTTGTGGGCTGGTGTGTTGCCCCTCTTGGCCCATAAGGCCCATTAACCTCCCGAGGCTTCCCGGAACCATTTCTGGTGATCCGATGACTACCCGATACACTTTGATACCTTTCCGGTGACCAAATAGCATCATCCTATATATCAATCTTTACCTCCGGAGCTCCTCGTCATGTCTGTGATCTCATCCGGGACTCCAAACAACATTCGGTCACCAGATCACATAACTCATATAATACTATATCGTCAACGAACGTTAAGTGTGCGGACCCTACGGGTTCGAGAATGATATAGACATGACCGAGACGCCTCTTCGGTCAATAACCAGCCCATATTGGTTCCTACGTATTCTACGAAGATCTTTATCGGTCAAACCTTATGGGAGCATACGTAATTCCCTTTGTCTGTCGGTATGTTACTTGCCCGAGATTTGATCGTCGATATCTTCATACCTAGTTCAATCTCGTTACCGGCAAGTCTCTTTACTCGTTTCGTAATACATCATCTCATAACTAACTCCTTAGTCATTTTGCTTGCAAGCTTCTTGTGATGTGTATTACCGAGAGGCCCAGAGATACCCCTCCGATACACGGAGTGACAAATCCTAATCTTGATCAATGCCAACTCAACAGACACCCTCGGAGATACCTGTAAAGCATCTTTATGATCACCCAGTTACTTTTGTGACGTTTGATAGCACACAAGGTATTCCTCCGATATCCGGGAGTTGCATGATCTCATAGTCGAAGGAATATGTATTTGACATTAAGAAAGCAATAGCAATAAACTGAACGATCATATGCTAAGCTAACAGATGGGTCTTGTCCATCACATCATTCTCCGAATGATGTGATCCCGTTATCAAGTGAAAACACATGTCTATGGTTAGGAAACCTTACCATCTTTGATCAACGAGCTAGTCTAGTAGAGGCTCACTAGGGACATAGTATTTTGTTTATGTATCCACGCATGTATCTAAGTTTCCGATCAATACAATTCTAGCATGAATAATAAACCTTTATCATGAATAAGAAAATATAATAATAACAACTTTATTATTGCCTCTAGGGCATATTTCCATTAATGGTCATAGTTCTTAGGCCGTTGTTGAGCCCCACCATTGCCATGCCTTTCTTGACCAACACAACCTCCTTGCCCTTAGAGGAGTTCCCTGAAGCAACATTGTTGATCCGCATCGAAAGTATGAAAATGAAGTCAATGGAGGGACAAAATGTGATACACATATGAATAAGATCAATGGAGGTATGCAGAAAATCTATTACACTGCATCTTCAATATTCATTCATCCCACGACTAATGGATTGTTTGACCACACCTATGAAAGTTGTTGGCCAAACTTCAGCATTTGTGCATCCCATCCACCCCTACCGCTTGAACCTCCAAAGCCCCCAATTTATCTACCACTTCACCCATCTCTCTCTTCTACCGTCTCCTCTTCCAGAACTCTCTCTGTCTCACCACCACTCCATCGCCATGAACCCCTTCCCCGCTGGCCCTCGATGGACGACATCATCAGTCGGCCGATCCAGGTAAGAGAGCCAGATCCGCCAAGTATAGGTCTATCGCAGCTCCTGCTGACTAGGCAGCCATCGCAATGGCACTGGGCACCATCATTTTGGAGGAAGATAACCAAAAGGATCCCTTTATATAGATAGGATAGGTCTAGGGTTTACTCGGGGGGTAGATGAGGTCGGTTCCTCCGCCGCCCTCAAGTTCGGAGAGCACGCACATCGTCTTCGCCTCTTTAGGGCTTCCTTACGCTCTTGGGCCTAATAGGCCTCGTCTGCGGACCATGGTCGGACCCCCTTATGTCAAGTACCTCGGGTATAGGACCCCGTCACCTAGGTCAAAGGATATCATATCATGAAATCACAGGGGTATCCTTGGAAAAGCACCATGACGCCTCCGGTTTCCCACC